TATTATATTTAGGAATGAAACAATATTAACAATAAAATATTAATAATATTGACCAAGAAGACTGCCAAAAGTGTTTGATAAAGTTTCTCAGTCAATAATTGCTTATTTCTATTGTTTAATTCCGAAATATAATNGCATTGTAGAGGAGCTAATTCCACACGAAAATGATACGAGGAGTGATGTTCTAGGATGAATAGTTTTTCCGTGACAACCCTCAGAAGTTTTTTTAACCTTAATTTTGTATTATTGCCGAATTCGTCCCCGAGATCCAGCCCATTTCTGCGCGCGCATCTGTAGGGCAAGAGCGGTATGCGCAGTCGATTCAAATATACATGTGCTTGATTATTCCACGACGTACGTGAAGGTTTTGCGATTTATTCGTCTTAATCAGTTAATTCAATCATTTCAAGTAGCACCAAAATGTAGGTGCCTAAAGTACACTGTGGCTAGACAGTTTACTACCAACGCCGCTTTGTAGTGGAAACTGATAACAATGAAAGGGCAATTAGGTCGCCCTCCTCATGATGATTTCCATAATGGGACACAACCAGTTTGTGGAATTTATTCTACTTTACCTGTACATTCAGGTTGGATGGTGCAATACCAGGGATTGTATGCATCACTGGAGTAATGATATTTGGGATCCGTTATTATAACGGATCCGTTATTATAAATATATAATCTAGAGTTACTGTCATCTACATTTTTGCATGGAAAACTTGTATTCTGAATAATATTTTAACAACTATAACGATGTAGTCAATAAGAAGGGATGACGAAGGAGAAATATATGTTCCGCAAAATGAACTAATTTTTTTTTATTACTATAAAAGGAAAACTCTATCGATAATATTTTATCTCTTAATTATTATTAAAGATTTCTTTTCAACTGATCAATTTTCCCCGTGGTGTAAAAAATTCCTAAACAATTCCTGAATATTCCTGTTCTTGAAAATTTTTTTTGTAAATTTATACAATTTTTTGGGCAACTAGGAAGATAAATATACTCATTTTTGGAATTTGAACATTTCCTACTCTATTCAATAATCTGAAAATTATTTTTATAATATTTCCATGTATAAAAACAAAAATTAAAACAAAAATTTCCATTTTTTCGTTGCTTTCTAAAGACAATATTTTCAGAATTTTTTTCTAATCGATCACCCGTTGCTCCCAAAAATATATGGAAAATCTCGGTCAACTGCCGTTTATAGGTCTTCGGGCAATTTTGAGTGTCATGAATAAAAATAACAGTACTTCTTATACGTATAAAATTAATTAAATAAATAAACGAAAGGGAGTATTCAATTTCTGTACCCATTAAAAAATTACAAGTTGGTTGATGAATTCATTTTATTCATAAAATTAATTTGATCATCCTCTGTAGTAATATTTTATTATATTTAGGAATGAAACAATATTAACAATAAAATATTAATAATATTGACCAAGAAGACTGCCAAAAGTGTTTGATAAAGTTTCTCAGTCAATAATTGCTTATTTCTATTGTTTAATTCCGAAATATAATCGAATGCAAATATAGAGAAGACTCAAATATGTATGTTATGAATGAAATTAAGTTATTAACCGGTTTATAATTATTTAATGGATGCAGGAATTGATAACCCACTGTCATCTATGTACTTAATTAATTATATACATATAAGAAGTATTCTTATTTTTATTTAGGACAATCAAAATGTTATTAGCCCTAATAATCTTGTGACACTTCGTCTTTTTAATTGTGTCATTTACTCCTGCATTTTTTTCCGGCTTTCTTCTCAGTTAAAACATTCACGAAGTTCGAACTCCTCTGCGAAATTCCATGCACAGTTCAAATCTACTGCGCATACCGCTACTTTGAGGGGAGTGCGCGCGCATACGAAGCTGGGCCTCATTGAATCAGCTGATTGTTCTACGAGATGTCACGCAAAAAATACTAAATAATTTATTACGGGAGAACAAGTGCACCTGCAATATTGGTTCCTAACTCATTTTCGTAGAGAATTTTCGGCCCTACACACTGGTTTTTTTCCTCAATGATCGGTTCAATTTAATTGAATCTACACGGATTTTTGGCGTTCGCCTGAAAATTCCAATTGTTTTTAATTATTTTTAATATGTAGTACATCAATCTGTCATTGAACAATTTGATATGTTGTTCAGGGAATTTTCATCTATCTAATGGTTATTTTTTCATCGACGGAGGATTAAAAGTGTCACCTAAATGCTAGATTGACTACACTATGAGATAGCACGATTCTGGACTGCAGTAGAGCTCACCCTCTGGTTGGAGGGAGCACTACTGTAGAGCGATTAGGAAAAGTTTGTTTCGCTTAGCTTGCTGGGCAGTCTTCGGGGTGAAGTCGGAACCCTCGAGGATCGTTCAGCGATCTCATTTACGAGTGTAAAAAAAATAAAATAATAATAATAATAATAATGATAACAATAATAATAACAAAGATCGAATCTCCAAGTGTAATGAAAAATTGAAAATCTGGGTTCATCAAAAATACTCAGGTGGGGGGGAGAGGTATTTTTTAACCCCCCTCGAATAACCAGGTGATTAATAAATAATGAAAACGAAATTAATTCCGATTATATTTAAAAACTCATTCAGCAAAGAATTAAATCGAGATAGAATCCATAATTGGACGACTTGAGTCAACAGTAATAAGAATTGCGCGGTAGACTAATGGTTAAGGCGTGTAGGACTAGTGATGTTAGGATCGTGGGTTCGCAACCAGCTCGGGATGGATTATTTTAAATTAACAAATTAAGGATTTTCACTGAAAGATGCGTTAGGGGTGGGTGATTAGAAGATAATCAATCATAAAAATGGTTGAATGAAAATTATTTTTGATTTTATTTATCATTTAAATCAATATACATTAGTCCCGGCTAACGACTGGCGACCGAGTCAGGCCCAGTCTTGGTGGCCAAGAATGGCCCAGCGTTATTATTTTGGTGCTCAACCAGCCTTGGACGCCTATGTTGGCCTGTGACTGGCCAAGGTTGGGCCGCCCTTGGACCAAGCTTGAGCCATTTGTTAATTCCTACCTGGAATATACTGGCTGAGACCAACCAACACCCGACCGTAAACCCGAGCGTGAGGTACCACCACAGGCAGCGCAGCCACGATTTGCACCAACGATGCCTCTTATCTACAACAGCCTCAGGGAAACACGTGAGGTTCGCCGAGTCCCACCAGGCTGCATCATCATAATAGGATATTTCGATGCGAGTGAGACGGAATTTTTACGAGTGTGAAGTTGGCGGGGCGAGGGCTGCCAATCACATGAGCGGAAAATTCCCGTCTCACATGTGTCGAACTAGTACATTTCATTCCCGAGCCTTGGAAAATAGAATCATTCTCCCCCACGTGCAAGATTGCCTTCCGAGCCGAAGGCGAGGATGGCAAGGACGTGTGGAAGGGTGATATGTTTCTCATGGCGAGGCGTGAACATTATTTTTCAGGTCCCGTGCCACGAAAAATATTTTTCAACAGTGATGGTACGTTCAGCGAGTGGTCGAATTGTGCCTTTTTCGTTTACAAGTGAACTAAAAGAATTTATTCTATGTCTATTCCGTCTCACTCGTATCGAAATATAACATTTTAATTTTTTTGTCATTCCGGCGGTAAGGCAGCGTTTCACGGACGCTCCACGTCTATTGTTAAATATTGTTCGTCATACGGCCCAAAAAAAATTTTCTGACGAATATGATTGCAGGCCTCGCCTTCGGCTTGTGCTGCAAACTTCATATTCGCCAGAAAAGTTTTTTTCGGCCTAATGACGAAATATACTAATTTATTATAGTATTTTTATTGTAGTATATTTCGTCATTAGGCCGAAAAAAACTTTTCTGGCGAATATGAGGTTTGCAGCACGAGCCGAAGGCAAGGGCTGCAGTCATATTCGTCAGAAAAGTTTTTTTTGGCCGTATGACGAACAATATTTTTTTCTGTACTGCTTCTCACGATTTCTCGTCTGGGAATTGGTATTACATACTTCCCAAACTCGAAAACTTGAAAATCACTACAGAAAAATATTGTTCCTGGGCTCTTGCGATGGGGTTTTTTTACTCGTATGGCGTTGGCCTCCGAGCCGTAGGCGAGGACCGGCCAACCACACGAAACCCCATCACAACAGGCCGGAAAAATACTATTTTGTCATTCCGGCCGTGAGGCAGCGCTTCACGGACGCTCCGCTCCGCTCCGCGTCCGTGAATCTCTGCCTAGGGCCGTCATAACAAAATAGTATATTTCGTCATACGGCCGAAAAAAACTTTTCTGGCGAATATGAGTTTGCAGCCCGAGCCGAAGGCGAGGGCTGCAATCATATGAGCTGGAAAAGTTTTTTTTGGCCGTATGACGAACAGTATTTTTTGTTATAACGGCCGTAGGCAGAGATTCACGGACGCAGGGCGATGCGGAGCGTCCGTGAAAGGCTGCTTTACACACTGTTCTTCCACACATCATACTCACACATGTCTTTCAGCCTGATCAAAATTACTGGTAGATAATACTGTGGTGACTGTATCTCGTTCATTCACGCAGAATGTGCAAAATTTCCCAACGTACCTTTCCTTGAATTTAGCCGAATTCCTAAAATTACTCGATCTCTCTCGCACAGAAAATTAAAATCGAATCCTCAAACTTTTCTATCATATGAAATGTATATACTTTTCTATCATATGAAATTAAACTTTTCTATCATATGAAATGTATATACATTTCATCCTGATCATAAACCCGGAGACTTGTTTATGGTTCTTTCCATAATCCCTCATCGGTCTTAATCCCTTACCATTACCTGGCTTCCCTCGATAATTCCTCGGTCCCTACCTAACCCTAGTGACGTCACTACGGACCCGTGATTTCCCCGTCGGTAGTCCCCGGCCAATCACGGAACAGCAGGGAAACTCGGGAACAACGAATCAATAAGACGTTAGGACTCACTCATCCCCTCTCCAAATTTCCTACCAATCACATCAGTCACGTCCAAATTGCACTCTCGGTAAATATCGGACACTTGCAATACTCATCATCATTTAACATTACACATTCACTTAATTAACTCAATTCCACTACAGAACAAGTTCGTCTATAACTGACTCTCTACTCACCACTTGTATAAGGAAAATTCACACATTTATATAAGAAAACTCAATTTCAAAATAAAAACTCAACTTCGCTCTACGTCAGGCTACTAGATCTCTGCAACCTCCTCACATCCACAGTAGAAATCATCGTTGCTTCGCCAGCGGGGTTGAATTAATTTTTTAAGTACGCGGATACATCTTATATATCAAGGTGACTTAATTTGGACTGTAGCTTACTCAGACATACACATGCTATTAAGATCGCTATCAATGGTTTGTTGCAGGAATATGCTACACGTTTTTTTACTGTCGTCGTTAATTGGACAGCTGATTGTCACCGTTGATTCGGAGCGTGAAACTGGTTTCTACATTAATAATGGACACAATCAAACGACAATGGAGCGATGGCTCTCATCTGAAGAAAAAACAGCCTTGGAACACAGAATTTTGAGACTCCTTGGATTGCCAGAGAAGTCAAAAAATCCAGAGAAAAAGCCAATTATGAAAAGATCGGCGCCGAAATTCCTTCTGGACGTATACACAAATGACATTGGTAAACATGGGAATAATAGCGGAGAGTTCAAGCTCAACGAGAGAAATTTATACACAATCAATCAGAGTGACGTAATCATTAGTTTCATGGCTCAACAGCCACACCAGGGGCTCGGTGGCAAACCGGATAGAGTCAAGAGGATGTGGTTCGACGTATCTGCAGTACCAGTCGATGATGATATCATGATGTCGGCAGAGCTCAGGCTGTACAGAGGTCCTGAAGCCAATACAAACAGAAATCGAGGAGCATTCACTGTCGCAGTTTACAGAGTTCTACGTGATACTGATGGTAACAAAGATTTTCATTTCGTTGACTCGGTGAATACTGGTGCAGGATACACTGGGTGGATTACGCTGGATGTCTCGGAGTCTCTGCAGATTTGGACTAAACAACCAGAGGAAAATCGAGGATTGTACATAACAGTTGTGTCTACTGAAGGAACTGATTCCTATAAAGTGAAACCTGAAAACATTGGCATCATTGGGTTCAAGGGGAGTGAAGAGAAACAACCATTTATGGTTGGCTTCTACAAGAACTCCGGAAAAAGAAGTATTCAACTTCGTATCAACGATATCGTCGCCAGACATCCGCGAAATGCACTGGATCATACTCTAGAGGCTATGCAAAACTACTATTTGAAAAATGAACACTTGGATGTACAAATATTGAGGGAATCGTGTGGGCTTCGAACATTATACGTCAACTTTAAAGACATTCAGTGGCAGGATTGGATCATAGCTCCTTCAGGATTCGATGCGTTTTATTGTAGTGGTGAATGCAATTTCCCTTTGCAAACTAGGATGAATGCAACTAACCATGCAATCATTCAAAACTTGATGCATTTGAAGCAGCCTGATGAAGTTCCGAAGTCATGTTGTGCTCCTACGAAGTATTCAGCACTTACTGTGTTATATTTTCAAGATGAGAATAATGTGGTCTTAAAGAAATATCAGAATATGATTGTTAATAGATGTGGATGTTTATAGAAAATTAGTCATAATTTTTCCGTTTCAATTTTCTTTCCTTGACACCTAGTCTCCTTGAAGAGTTTCCAGACTCCTCGATAAATTTCTTGTTTTTTTTAGGATTAAGATTGGGATCATCATAGAATAGGATAGAATGGAATTGATCATAATTTCTTAAAATAATGTTAATCATTATTCATAATGTTAATAATTAATTGAAAGTGTAAATATTTTATATTAATAGAAACCTTTCCGTGGAATCTTTTGTGTAGGGAATGAGATTGAACGTCATATTTATTCAATGTATATGAAAGTATACGGAAGATGCACCATACGAAATGATAGATGATGGAATAACACGGCTTCATGAATTTAAACACTTGAATTCAATGAATATACTAATCTGAATAGACGAGAATTGAGTAAAATAAACACAGGATTTCTTGAATAATCCCCTAACTCTCTCAGCCCATCTTCAACAATTTAAAACACATAAATTTTCTTCTATTCAAGCTGCATGTGAACATCTGCATAACAAAGACCCACTTTGTCGATTATAGCTTCCGAAATATTGACGATTTTGTCTCCGCAACCGCTGTTTGAATCATTTGGCACTTCTTGTTCATCATCTTTAGCAACTCCATATTTGACATTATCAGAGTCATGTTGGGCTTTAAATGCAAGAAACTCCTTTCTAGAGTTCATCACTTCTTTTTTCTGTGTGCGAAGTAAATAAGTGGGAAATTGCTCTTGTATTGTATATAGTATAGTTATTTTTTACTGACAAATTAGCAACAACATGCTTCCGAGTGGTTATTTTGTAAATCATTTCCTTCTATCATGTATTATTCATTGTTTATTTCATTTTATTGAATTGAATAAGATTTCCTTTTACCTAATTTTGTCAGATTTTTACCTTAGTTGAATGTTATTAGCATCATTATTCTTATTATCCCTTTTCTGTTGTGCAACCGATTGTCTTTTTTACAGTTCTATCTCTCCTCTCAGCCCTTCGATAAAATGTGAATAGAAAAATTTTATTTACACATACTTGAATGAATTTGAAACATCACATTTGAAGAAACCATCAGAAAGTTCGCTGTGAGGGAAATTCATGAAAAATTCTAAATTTTTAACAATCATCATAAAAATCAAATCAACCAATATAGCTATGGTAATCATCTTTACATATCGACTGAATGGCATTAAAGCAAACATTTTAAGCTATCAATTCATTTGAAGCATCATATTCAAAGATATCCCTGAACTTCTGATTTTCAAAAAATACAAAATGTTTGAAAATTTTCGAGTAAATCAACGTAACGATTATTGCTATCGCCTTCATCGTCGAAGTTGGTCAAAGAGACATCAAAACAAATTTTTTAAGCCATCATTCAATCAATTGAGAACATTTTTTTTAGTTATCGTGGGACTACCAATTTTTGAAGAAAATTCCTAAATTAAAAAAAAACGGGTTGATTAATTGAATTTTGATTAGTGGCGATCGGTAGGGCTCAACAATACCTACATTTGAAGAAAAAAGATTCAACAATTCAGATTCCATCCATTCATTAGCGAACAATTGGAGAAAAACTTTACCACACATATACATACATACACATGTACGTACGGACACAGTCTGAAAATTGCATTCTCGGACTTTTTGGATCATAATAGGTCGATATAACACAAAAAATTCAAAACATAAATTTGAACGATTACAATGTTTCCATTCGGAAGTAGGACTGCACGTATGAAAAAATCGTATAGAAATTTTCTATACGGATTGCGTATAGAAATTCTATGGGATTTTCGTATATGATATTCGGATATTTCAATACATAAATTTTTGCATAAATCTTTGTTTTCATACGAAAGATATCTAAATGCTCCAGAGAAAAACGTTGAGAAATGTCGCAACTCCATTCGAAATGTTTCTATACATGTGGCAGTGGGTCGTATAGGATTAAACCTATAGAAATCGTATAGAAATAATTTGTATAAAAAATATCTTATACGAAAATCCTATAGAAATTTTATACGCAATCCGTATAGAAAATTTCTATACGATTTATTCATACGTGTGCGCACGACATGAGATGAGTCGAGATTTTGAGAAATCTCGGCTCGGTCTCGGAAAAAATTGAAAATTTTAATATCGTCTCGGTATGGTCTTGTCTCGTTTTGTAATACATTGGTCTCGGTCTCAGTCTCGTTTCGCTATCAAAAATGTATGTCTCGTCTCGGTCTCGTCTTGTTATGTTCTTCTGTTTTCACAAGAACAGGAGACATGGTTTACTAAGAGATAACTTTTTTTCTTCAACGTTTGTCAGCACAAGATGAGAAATACATTCTAACATTCATCCTCTCATTGCCCTTACAGTAAAAGAAATATATTCATCTTTTTCCGATATTTTTTCACAAATTTTAAGCGAAAAACTGAAGAATTGCTAAAGCGATCGTTTTCATGAACTAATTAGTTTTAAGTTACATAAAGACTTATCGATCGCAAAAAAAAATTGAATCGCTTCATTCGTTCAGGAGACATTGTCGGATAAAATTTTCATCACATACGTACACGTATGAAAAAATTTAATAGGAAACCTAGCGAATTTGCTAGAAAATTCTATTGAAATTCTACAGGGATTCTATGAGGTTTCTGTGGGATTTCCATTAGAATTTTATTAAAAAATTCTATTTGTTTTTTGCGTTGATTCAACTGGACATTCGATAAGAAAAAGCTAATACATTTCGAATTTCTATTTGAATTGTTCTCTCGAGATTTTTTCTATAAATGCTTGGGCATCAATTTTCCAAGTTTTTTCCACTCGGATTCTGTATTGCAAAACAAAACAAAATCAAGCGGCAAAAACTTGGAAAATTTGTGCCCAATAATTCTAATAGAAAAAATTTCAAGAGAAAAATTCGAACAGAAATTCAAAATATATTGATTTTTCCTATCAAATATGCAATAGAATCAGCGCAAAAACTAGGTTTTCTATTAATTTTTTTCATGTGTGTATACACAAAAACACACACACACACACACACACACACACACACACACACACACACAAACACACACAAACACACACAGACAGACATGTCTTAAAAAATTTGTCAGGATGATTTGAAACGTCAAGAAATGTAGGCAAATTATGGAAACTCCATATTTGATTTTCGGGGTCATCCGTCCCTTCGGGTCGGGAAGTTGAAAACAACCGCGACTCATGTCAGATTCTCGTTAGGACTCTTGGTTCCCCGGCGGTATCGTCTCGCTTACTCGTCCGTATCATCTCGGTCTCGTCTCAGAGATTTTGCAGTAGTCTCGTCTCGGTTTCGTCTCGAAAAAACGAGATGAGACGAAACGAGACCAAGCCTAGTCCCAGTCTCGTGCGCAACCCTATGTCTGGTAGTGTGGTAGTCCCAATAGTTTAGAATGAAAAAACATAGAGAGAACAGACACATTACTCAATCAACTGCTGAGAATATATGTGACCGTCTGCATGAAAAGGGTCCACTTTGTCGATATGCAGTTTTAGGTACTCCAATAATATTGACAATCTAAAAAAATAAATAAAATATGAAGTTGCCGGAGATGATGAAAAAAAATACAGTTGGTTTAAATAGCAGTTGGGGAGACAAAAACGTCAACATCTCGGAAACTATAATCGACAAACAGGCCTTTGTTATGCAGATGTCCCTATTTAGTTTGAATGGGGGAAAATAATTAGGTGCTTTAAATTGTTGACGATGAGATGAGAGAGTGAGGGGGATTATTCAAAACGTCGTGTTTTTATTTTACTCAGTTCTCTATGCAAATTTGTACATTTTCGAAAGATAATTAAGTTGTTATTTGAATTCAAGAGTTTAAAACCATAAATTTAAGTTTTTTAATTAACAAGTCTATCATTCTGTATGCTACATCTTCCGCATACTTTTATATACGTTGAATAAATATGACGTCAGTCTCACTTCATATGCAAAAGATCCCACAGACATATTTCTATGAACATGAAATATTTACACTTTCAATTAATTATTAATTGACATTTCCAAAAATTATGGTTAATTTCATTTTTTTCTACTCTATGATGATCCCGATCTTACTCCTAACAAACAAGTAATTGATCGAGAAATCTAAAATTCTTCAAGGAGGCTAGGCTTCAAGGAAAGCAAGTTGAGATAGAAAAAATTACGATTAATCTCATGTAAACATTCACATCTATCAACAGTCATATTCTGATATCTCTTCAAAACTACATTATTCTCATCTTGAAAATATAATAGAGTAAGTGCTGAATACTTTGTAGAAGTACAACACGACTTCGAAACCTTATCCGGCCGCTTCAAATGCATTAAGTTTTGAATAATTGTATGGTTAGTTGCATTCATCCTGATTTACAAAGCGAAATTGCACTCACTACTACAATAAAATGCATCGAATCCTGAAGGAGCTATGATCCAATCCTGCCACTGGATGCTTTAAAGTCGACGCATAATGTCCGAAGCCCACACAACTCTCTCGATATCGTTGATGCGAAGTTCAATACTTCTTTTTCCGGAGTTCTTGTAGACGCCAACCGTAAATGGCTGTTTCTTTTCACTCCCCTTGAATCCAATGATGTCAATATTTTTAAGTTTCACTTCATAGAAATCAGTTCTTTCCGTAGATACAACTGAGATGTACAATCCTCGATTTTCCTCTGCTTGTTTAGTCCAAATCTGCAGAGACTTCGAGACATCCAGCGTAATCCATCCAGTATATCCTGCACTAGTATTCTCCAAGTCAACGAAATGAAACTTTTTGTTACCATCAGTATCACGCAGAACCCTGTGAACTGTAACAGTAAATGCTCCTCGATTTCCGTCTGTTTTTGGGCCATGTCCTTGAATTATTCACCAATAAATTGATGGAATTGAATCATTTTTTTTTTTAATGTAGGTATCGTTGAGCCCCATCCATCGACATAAATTAAAATTTGATTCATTTATTAATCTTTTTAAATTTAGATTTTTTTCATTTTTTTTTCAAAAAATAGCTGTCCTGCGATAGCTAAAAGAAAGGTTTTAAAATCATTGAATGGTGGCTTAAAATGATTGTTTGGATATCCTTTCGACCGAGTTGGAAGATGGAGGCGATAGCACTAATCGTAGTTTCCAATTATATAAAAATTTGGAAACTTTTTTCATTCATTGAAAATTAGAATTCTGGGCATATCTTCGGATATCATGCTTCAAATTCATTCAATCACAGCTTTAAATTTCAATTTCAACACCACTTTGTCGAAGTTGAAAGATTATTAGGATTGGTATATCCGTGGGTTTGATTTTTATAATAATTTTTACATTTTGGTGAATTTTTCATGAATTTCCCAGGACGCTTCCCAATGGTTTCAAAATCATTCAATTGTGTATGAAAAACTTGTTTCCAATGCTATTTCATCGAAGTTTGAAATCATCATTTTGGAAAATTTGCTTTCACGATTTATTCGAATGAAAAAAACTTCAAATTGATTCAATTATCATAGAAGACTTACTTCAATTAAACAAATGAGTGCTATAAACATATCTTCTATCATTTAGAAAAATTGAGCATTACAGGGTAGAACACATGTATACCGTAATAAAATTGTAAGAAGATAAATCGGCTGAAAAAAAAACAAGATAATGAGGATAATCATACTAATAATCAAATGATAATAATTAGATTCAGTTGAGGATCAAACACAA